CACCACATAGTCATATATTAAGCCCTTGTTTGAGCCCTACTTTTCCACCAAAATGTATTCTTCAACAGTAATTTGATCCCACTTCAATCACAAATTTTTCAATAAAATAATATTACACACGAATTTATGATTTTTTTTTATTTTGTAACTGTACATTTTTCATCAATATACTATTCAAATGTGCGGTTTTTTATTTTATTTTTTAATAACAAGAATGAGGCTCAAACAAGAGCTAAATCGAACTATACAGTTAGACGTTGAGAAACATACATACGAAGAATTCATTACATAGTTGTATGTGTGTGGGAGTATGTAGTTCTTTAAAGAAATTAATATACATTTATATATAAACAAATGAAGAAACGATGGTAACTGAGAATCTAGTCATCAAGTAATGGGAATATGATGGGGTCATAGAATTCTCGCATAAACATTCTCTCTTTTACGAGAGCGTCTTGTGTTGTTCCATAATAAAAGGTAATTCAACACAACTTATGCCCTTGTTTGAGCCACGTTATTTCCATAAGAACGAATTTTTAAATAGTGTATTGATCATAAATACGTAGTTAAAAATAAGGAAAAATTTTGAATTTGCTTGTAATATTATTTTATTAAAAAATGTGCAGTTAAAATGATATTAAATTACTATTTAAGAATGTATTTTTTTGAAATAATATGGATCGAACGTGTATATATATAAATACTTATGAACTTAAAAAGGCGGCTCTAATTTCAAAAAGAGGGTACCCACACGAATGGATGGATGGATGAATCCAAAGTCCATAAACCCTACCTTCACATAAAGCTAAAATTAGATTACACAAAGAATAACATAAACTCCATTTTCATTCCCCACATGGGCCTTTTTAGTTACGTCATTTGTTTCTTTGACATGTGATTAGCCAATTTTTTTGAATTTCATTACATATTTAAGAAATAATGGAACTAGTTATTTGTAATGTGTTTGTTAATCATAGATCAAAAAGTGTTACAAGTTGAGAATAGTGTGTATGTATAAATCTTAATCTTAACAAAAAGGAATTTGTATGGAATTATACGACATTGGACATGTCTACGTTCTTTAATCTTGTTAAGTCGCATTCAAATCAGCGTATAGCTAACAAACCAAAAGTGACTAGGTTTTAATTAAAAGATAAAATTTTGATGCAACACATTCATGTATCTAACGAATTATTTGTAATAAATGAGACATAATAATAGTTATTTGATTTTCTAAGAAAAACATAAAGTGGATTTGTACTCTTGTCAATTGTACATAGGGTCCTCAATAAACTTTATTTTTAGGGTAAAATACTCTTCACTTTCCTAACTCTTCATCAATGTCTAGTTCTTTCTTTATGTAAGTTCAACTTGATTTAGTGTAAAGAGAGAGGGGAGCGCTTTTAGATCGTTTTATGGGTCCCTTTTGAATGAAAAGTGAGATTTCCCTTATAATGGGGTGTTTTGACACAAACAACAAAAAAATTATAGTATGTAGTTAATTATGAGAGAATTAGGCAAGATTGCACTTTGCTTTTACAAATCACATTGTTGAATGAAGTATGTAATTTAGGCAAATTATCATTTATTTTTTGTGGAAATTAGTAAGAACATAAGGGACCATGACATGTAGGTTTGTTTTGCAAATGTTGATTCTTATATCGAATTAAGTTATCTAAAAATTAATATGTCTCCTTGTGTATAGGATAATTTTATTTTCGTTATAGTTCCAATTTCTAACGTTATAAATTTAAACTTATTTGTTCGGTCTAATATTATATTAGAATATTGAACTATCTATCAACTTCTTTATTTTTTTTATACAATTATCGAATGAACTATAACTTACATAATTCTTTCCCGTTTTCAAGACAATCTCCTATTACTTGAGATTTTCGTTAAATTAATCCTTCAATGTTATAGAAAGTTTAATTTGTTAATAAAATATAGGATATATGTCAAAGATCAACATTTCTTGAGAGATATGTTTTGTTTTCATAACAAGGATTAGACTTAACCCTACATAATAAAAGCTTAAACCACTACATTAGAGAAAACCAAAAGATTGAACTTTTATCCAACAATTTATCCTTTCTAGTTTTTGTTTTTGTCCTTTACCTTTATTTCAATCTTTTAGTTTTCTCCTCCTCTTTTCTCTCCTCACCTCCTCCTTTCGTTAATTAAAGAATGAAAAGAATATAATGGACCCTTTTAACAGGTAAAAAGTGAGAGCACAATTTAAAAGAAATTATAAAATAATTTTTCTCTATTATATAATTTTTTTTTCACTTTTTCTTAAACCAAAAATAAAGTGATATTTATTCTTTTTAAAAAAAAAAAATAATCACAGAACTAATTATTACTTAACCTTGTCAAGTCCTCCGTATTAGATTTAATTAAAATTAACGTTTATCATAATCTCATTGAACATTTAGTATAGTTAAATGAATGATTAATTAGCAAAAACTTGGAATATTTCTATTGGTGGAATGAACGCTCTAATTGACATGATGGCTAATTTACATATAAAAAGAAATAATAATATGCATATATAGTGCCCCACCCCTCACCATCAATCTCTTTGGGAACTTGGGCCTCACCAAGCTCCACTTATACTCTCCTTTCTTCCCCGCAATGATGGTATACCTTATGCTAATCGAATTGGACTTACCATGTTTTAAAAAGATACTATAGTGTAATGCAACACGTCACGTGAAATATTGGTACGATATATTGTACAATATTAAGAAATACTATAAGTAAGAAATTCTTCTCAATATATACATTTGATGCGTTGAACAAGATAGGAATCTTGAGTAGCAAATAAATATTAAGTTATTTTTTTCTTCATCATGTGCAGTTTTTAAAGTGTAACACATCGAACATGCTATGGATTTAAATTGTCAAAACTAATAGTTTTTCATCGATTATGCTCGTATTACAATTTGACAATACAAACATTATATAATATATAATATTAAGATGGGATTTATTATCGAAAAATATCTCATTTTATGTTGGAGAAATTGGATAGTGAGAAGAGGAGAAAAATGCCAAAAAATATATATAATTAATTAATTATTTTTCTTTGAGGTGGGGGAGTAACATCAATTAGAGCTACATCTAGGCCATTTCCACTATTACTTTTTTTTTTTTCCCAGTATTTGCATAAAATGATATTTAATTTATAGCTTGTCCTACCATATTTGAAGTTCACATGATGCACTTGGCCAATTTCAGAGGCTCCTGAAAAAAAAAAAAAAAAAGTGATTATCATTCTTTTACATCAAATCAATATGCAGTTTTATGATCTGTGTTCACGATGCCTTAATTTTCTTTCTTTCTAGTCCATAATTACTGAGCAATAGGGACAATTTTATTACAAGTATAGATACATTATACGTACAAGAGAAAACATGAAAGTACTAAACTTGATCATTTATTTATCGTTTACCACAACCTAGCTAAGCAAAACGGCATTCAAACTCATGATTAGGTCAATCGGCTAATCTAATCATAAATGGTTTGAATATAATTGAGCATCTTGGACTATAGTATAGGAGCCTCATTAGAAAAGATTAAACCAATCTTTTAACATATGTTAAATATGTAGTATCCAATGAAATAAATAGTAAGATTTAAATTGATTTTCTTTGTCTATATCGTCCAAACAAATCACGACTCCTTACAATTTGAATCCCGGACAGTTGGAAATGAAGGCCACGGACTAAAATTTCATGATCAATCAAGAAAGAAAAAATGACAAAATTAAGGGATCACGAGAACACCCAAGTGGAATGTTAATAGATTTTCTTTTGGTGGGAAGAAAAAAATGGCATTTTGTGTGACACAATGAAAGGAACAGTATAGACTTTTTTCTTTTGTGTACTCAACTTTGAAAAGTTGATAGAGTAAGGGAAGAATATAACAAGCTTTTGCATAGGGTTCTCTGAGAAATTGATCTTTTTGTGGGTTCTATTCTCATTTTTAATTTGAAGGCTGGTTTTTGTGGGACAAATCTCGACCGACCTTTCACTCTCCACCATTTTCTTACACATTTCCCTTTATTGTCTTCTCTTAGATTCCCTATTTGAAATGAACTTTAGTAAGTTTCATATATTGATATATTTCAATTAGATTTGGTGCATTGTATTAGACTGTGTAAAAAAATTATGGCAAAGTTAGAATATAAACTAATAGGTTAAAGGATTGTGGTGGATTAAGGAGGATAATATCCTTTTATTTATTCATTTCTTAATTTTTGAAAAATACCATTTATATTAAGGATCTTGCTCCTCTACCAGACCTGTAAATGATCTGGTAGAGGAGCCTCTCTCACAGCAATAGGTCCCCCATTGGGACCCATTATTAAAAAAATGTCAAAAAACACCCACCCCACCCCCAAATGTGAGTGAAGCTGCTCTACCAGATCATTTTCTGGTAGAGCAGCACGGTCCTTATATTAATTATCTTATCTAGTTTACTAAAAGCCATTTTTTGGTTGATAGTGCAATTGTCCTTTTTTTTTTTGTTTAAAGATTAAAAATTATTATTTACATTAATTTACCATGCGTCTACTATTATCTATTCTAGTTTCATACTAAGTTCTTTATACGGTCTATTTCGGTGTACCAATTGCTATTTTTGTATATTAGACCAGATCAAATTATCAAAGAAAGACGAAGTACTTTACGTAGTTGTTTGAGCATTATGTTCGGTAATGTCTAGTCCAACATATTACACTGTAAAAAGTCTATCAATTGCCAAAGATCTTAACACCAATGATCTTTTAACAATTTGATCAATGTCGAAGTGTTGTACCTATCAACAGTGAGCTGGGATGATTTCTTGACTCGGAGTTTTTGGCCATACACTACAAAATACAACTCTAGTAGTTTGATTCATCATTTTCCATCGAACAAAATGTCATGTGTGATACTGTCATGTTTGCTAAACTTATAAATTCCTATTTAAACTGAAAATATAAAAATCTGTTGACAATGGACTCGAGTATTGATAATCCTCGTAAGAGCAATGATGATTTTTTAAGAGAATTCTTTATCCATGACAAGTACGATTGTGTCTATACTTTAATGAGTATACACATTCACCGTATACAATTCAGGATAAGACGAACAACATAGAATGTGGATAAAATAGAAATAGTTTTTGGCGGTAGATTTCGCTATCAAGATGAAGACGACTGAGACTGCCATTGCAAGTTTTTCTTTGCATATTGTGTTAGGGCTCCATCATTGCCAATTCATCCAAAAAAGATGGACAAGACGATACCTTTCATTTTCAGTCCACGTGGCATCCAAATTTCTTCTCCACTTGGTGCCACGTACCATGTAGGGAGAAGATGAAATATTACTTATCAATGATCATCGAAGCCGGGAGCAGTCGGATCGAATGAAATATGCTCGTCAATCGTAGTATTAAACTTTTCAATTAGATAACACAGTAATTGACGTACTATTTTTCAAAAATTTCAAATATTATCAGAAATTAAATCGATAAATTTTAAAAGCTAATGACCTCTTTAGAGTCTTGATACCCTATAAAATATAGAATAATTATCTCACGACCTCGATGAAAATGACACGAGATATTGTCATTTTCATTTAATTAAAGATGTTAATTATAATTCAAAAGATAGGGATTAAAAAATGACTATTTGCATATAGTGGAGGGCCTTCTACGGTTAAGAATTGTATATGAACCCTAGCTTTCATCATTTGACTCCTTGAATTTTATACCTAATTGGCCGGCTATGGCTTCCCCACAAAATTGTTGATTTCTAGTTTCAAATCAATTGAGTGTGTGTCAATTTTGCTAAGATGGGGACACATTAGCTTCACTTTGTTGAAATTTTTGGTGTGACAAAAATTAGTCCTATTGACATTTTTTTTCTTGCAACGCAACAAGATTAAAATTTTGTTTTGTTGTATATTCTTGTTGTTAGGGGGATAAAAATCCCATATTTATTAAATATCACAATATTGACCAATTTAAAAAGATTTTAGGTTACTCCTCTTAATAAGATTGACCTTTTAAAATGAAACTCCAAGTGTTAACATGATATTAGAGCCCATTAAACTCCAACGAGTAATTCGATCTGATTAAGACTCTAAAAATGAGCACAATGATTTCAAGATTGGTCTGCTCAAACGAGCCACCATCTTGTGGAGCATGTTAAAGGATAAAAATCTCACATCAGTTAAATACCGAAATATTGATCAACTTAAAAAGATTTTGGACTACTCCTTTTAATAAGGTTGACATTTTAAGATGGAACCCTAAGTCTTAACATGGTATCAGAGCTCATTAAGTTTCAACGAGTAATTTGATCAAATTAAAACTCTAAAAATGAACACACGAATTTTAAGATTGGTCTGTTTAAATGAGCTACTATCTTGCGGGAGCATGTTAAAGAATAAAAATCCCACATTAATTACATATCAAAATATTGACCAACTTAAAAAGATCTTGGACTACTCATCTAGTAAGAATTCCGTTAAACTCCCTACTAAATAAGTAATTTTAATTAATACAAAAAGGTAATGTAGTATAAGGTACGTAGCAAAAGCACATTTTTAGAGGTTCGTTTGCAACCTAGAGAGAGCATGGAAAATAAAAGAACATACCAAAATATAAACAACTTTTTAACATTTGTTCAAAGAACGAATGTCGGTTACTTTGTACTAATAGTGAATTACTGAAATTAGTAAGATAATCTTCTTTAATTTTTAAAAAACGCGGTAGACAGAAATGTTTGACTTAAAAAATTACATCACAAGTTAATTTTTTTAAACTTTGTTTTAATAATAAAGCTTAAATTTTACTTAAAAATTTTTGGTTCTTTGTGTTCAAATTTAGGTGAAATATTATATAAGAACGAGTCTTAAAAAATATTTGAGGTTATTATTTAAACTAAGGCTTGAGCTTCTAACACAACAAAATCATCTAACTTACTAGCCAAAAGTCGAGCTTAAGGTTTACATAATTGTATGATCTTGGTCGGGGCTCATACTCCGTTGAAATTGATTAAATAACTTTGTTCAACAGGATATACTTTGGATAAGGCTTGAATGTAATGCGGTTCGTGTGGGCCCTACGCCTATTTATATTTATATGACTAAATCTTCAGTGGAGTAAGGTCACCATCCACGTGGTGTACCTCGACATTGGATGGTGTGCTTGTCCAATGTCGAGGCGCCACCTCGATAGGGGACCCACACATCCTGAGGGTGTGTGGTGGGCCACTAGCCGAGGTGGCACACCTGGATAGGACGGTCACATCGCCACGTGTTGCGATCATTTCACCGAAGTTTCTCTCTGTTTATATTCGTATTATTGTCAAGTTATTTTGACTTCTCAATGTAATTAGTTCTAACATGAATTTATCTATTTTCTTTCACTATATACTTAAGATAGACTTCAATATGTGTTGAACATGACCTTCAAGCTTGATAATTTTATGGTGATGACCATGTTTGCTTAGAAAACTCAACAATTTCGGCTTAGTTATTACTTTTTCGACGTAGAGGTATTTGTTGGACTTTGATTCAATAATCTATCGTATGATCAAGTGACAAATGAAAGATACAGTGATTGTCAAGCTATTATAGTATAGTTCAAAATTTTGAAATCACGAAATGTGGATGTTTCTAGAATTTACAATCTACATATATTAGAAAACATTAATCATGAACCAAATCCACACTTACATTAGCAAATAAAAAAATTACTCGTTTATTGCCATAATTTCTTGTTTCTCCATTGTCTAGAACAAATCATTTCATCCATATCAACTTCTATCTAGCTCAAATACAATAATTTACCTATGGTACACCACAATTATTTGTCAAAAGGTAACAAATAAGAAAAAAGAATATAAAACAAAAAAGAATAAGAACGTTTTTCAATTTTAAAAAACAAGAATTACATATTTATATCCCACAAGCGAATAGTGAGTGGTCAGAACCAGGCTGGCAAATTCCAACCTTCTTTACTTCACATGGGTTGCATCCTTAAATCCTAAACCACATACAATTTGTATTCTTTTGTGTATAAATTAAATTATATGTTAATTTTACTTATGGTCATTGAATTTTGTACTTTGTATCACCTCAGTCATTGAACTTTGATTTATTTTAAGCGTGAACTTGCAACTATTTCATTCAAACAATTGTTCGAATTTGATGTCCCTTTTTAACTGAAAATCCTTCGCATTTGTGTGCCCATATGTCAAACCATCAAGATTTTCAATTAAATAATACAACTCGGTGCACATACAAAGAGAATTTTTAGTTAAAAAATGGACGACAAAACGAGTAGGATCTTTAAATCAATCTTTTTTTTTTTTTTTTAAGTTCAATGGCGTGTCTAAAATAAAATAATATTCAAAGGTCAAGGTAGCACTACATACAAAGATTAGTGGCCATTATAACCCATTTAATTATACTAATCACATTACTTTGATTCATTTTTTTTAAGGACTCAAGTAGATTAGATAGCGAATTCTAAGTTCCCACTCTGAAGTAGCGATTTCGAAATTTTTAATGGGTTTAATGGATACATTACAAAATGCCATCGTAGACTAAAGCTAGATATATATTCTACAATCTTAGACAGTAAGCTTTAATTTATTTTATGTGTTTGGAAATTAGGCCTAACTTCCTGGCACCATTTGCTTTCGCAAATCGAGTCACCTGGTATGGAATGTCAATTTATTAGGAAAAAATAAAAATAAAAATACTCATTTTTCACTTCATCTTCCTCCTCCTTTTCCTCTATTTGTCTCTCTCTATAGTTTCCTATCCAAAATTTCCGTGGCAATGTGACAGTTGAGTCACACAATAACCGGCGCTGTACATACATACATGGAGATGGAATACACATAGTGAAGGTGAGGTGTGGGGTTCCTATCATTAATATCATCTCGTGGATTTCAGCGTTTTTTAATATCAGTTTCAAACTGAGGCCTCCATACCCGCGCTCAAAAGCAGCAATCCGTTGATTATTTTTGAAAATCCACATTTTTTCATTTTCCTGGAGAGAGAAAGTTTCATACTTTTAGACGGCAAGAAAGCAGCCCTCATTATCTTTTGAACTCAATCGATTCTTTTATTTTTTTTGTAAATTTGATATACATATACTTGAAATGCATGTTCTATACTCTTCTTTTTCAAATCTCGAGGCAAGTATTAAGGTATAAATTTATCAAGATTTTGTGTTAAAAATCTTGAAATAGAACGTATTTTCTTTTTTCTTCAGAAAGTGAAGGACAAAGGGGGGAGGAAAAGGGTGGTATCCTAGGCAAAATTTTTGTTTCGAGGGGTGGGTAAAAGCCCAACAGAATA